TAGCAAGGGAGGTAAGACAGCCCTTGACAATGGACATGATGTCCCTCCTGGTTCTTTCCAGACCATATTGAGCATCAAGATTTTATGACACATCTGTTCACGCTACCAACAATAGAAACCCTAAAGGGACTTTTGTGGTACCCAGCACAAAGTGTCTGTGAGGAATGTTGGCAAATATCCTCCCAAACAGACAGGAGCTGTTACAGCCTGAGCAACACCTTGAGAGGGGAAGTTTGTTTATATACAGTTCTGGTGAGTGGAACACTACCACTCTCCTGGAGGCCAGTGGGAATACACACACTCTCAGGTTTCAGAAAGGTAGCTGGGAGAGCCAGGCCATGGGAGGGCTGGGGGAGGAGGGTGCAGCCTCATCAATAGACTACAACAGAGTGTAATTAATAAGAACATAGCAACAACTGGTGTCCGAGGTTATTCTTCTGTGCACAGCAAGGAGGAAATGAGTGCTCAAGGCCATGTACAAACGAATCAATGTGCCTTACACACACCTGAAAATAGGGCAAACTTTCAGGAACTGATGTCAGTGCTGTCTCCACCAGCAGAGAAGCAAATCAGCAAACATCAGAGGGAAGCCTCAGAGGAACTGATGCAGCACCTGACCACCAAGCATGCCTGAAAACCCTCCCCTAAGAGCCTAACGTGGAAATTCCACTCTTTGCCGATCTTAATGATGCTCATTGAATGAAACCTTTCACTCCCTCCTTAAAAGTTCATGAGGGAAGCAATTCATTAGCTGACAAACCTACCATAAACAGATGCTGCAGAGCCTGCAAGAGTCAAGGGCATTCTAACTTCAGATGAAGACAAATTATGGTTTAATATATCTAAGTGTGAAGGCTTAATTGCTTTCCACTGAATTCAAGACCAGTCTGCTCCAAGAAATCACATCAAAACTTCTCCATTTATGCCTCATGGCTTACTTCCAATGTTTAAGATTAAAACTAAAGTTTCTCCTAAGAAATCCAGAAAATATCAGTAGAGCAGAGAGGAAAGAATAAAAAAAGTGAAATTTAGTTAATATAGTCATCAAATAGATTGTTTAATCTTGAACACTTATAGGTGTTTCAGTCCTACAACAAGGACTCTGCTTGACAGGAAGATGTTTACAAGGTTTCCATGTCTTTGAAGCAGTTAGCAGGGTCTTCTGGCTCCACAAAGAGAGGTGAGGGGACACACTATCAGGAAACTGGAGTCTTTGAACCCTGGAGGCTCCTGCTCTCCCACAGCTGCCAGCAGACCAGTCTGACCCACTCCTGTGCCTGTCTATAGCACTCCCTGGCACAGGGACAGCTCTGTTGCCCTAGTGAGTCTGAACACTGATTACCCCTATAAAACATCAGAAGGCAAAACTGAAAGCAAAAACCCATTACCTCTTTCAATTCCACTGAGCTTTGGTCAGGAGCACAGTTCAGTCCTGATGGGACAATCTTGAACCTGTACTAAAGAAGAAATTCCACACCCTGTGTGTTTCAGAGTTATCTTGTTACTAATTGGCTCAGGAAAACAGTCATGGATAACAGGTCAACCCATGTGCAAAGTGAGAACAGGAGCACCCAGCAGAGTCCAGAGGGGCAATGCAAATACAGCAACTGCAGCACAAACACATCATCAGTTCATTTCCAAACTTTATTCCAAAAGTCAACAATTAGAAGAAAATACATTGCAATTGTTTTAATTCTGTTAAAAGATCCCAAAATAAATTACACAGGATTTGCACAGCTCTAAATATGAAAAAGATCATAAAAATTAATGGTGCTCTCATATGCCAAGATTAATCCTTTTCCATTTTGACTATATTAAAAGTTGCCTGTGCAGAGATTATTTTTATAGCTATGCAGAAAACCATTCAGTTTTTGGGTCTTGATGCCTCAGTAAAGATTTACAGGCAAAGGCACTTAAAGGCAAAAAGAGATCAAGAGAGATAACATCCCATTACAGACAGATCCCTGTACTCACACACAATCTCCAGCCAAACACTGCTGTGAACTGCAAGAGGTTTTAAGTCAGAAATATTTCTCCATATCAACAGAATGGAAAAAGTGCTTTTACGTTACACAGGCTACAGTGGAGTTTAATTTTAATTCAGGCCCTTGACATCCCCCCAAGGTTCCCACCACAGCTTTTCTACGGAAGTGTTTTTCAGAAACAGCATCTTTGCACTGGACCTATCTTGACAGGTTTGAGCCACACCAACTTTTACTGTCCTCAGCTCCCTGTTGATGAAAAATGCCATTTATTACAAAATCAACTTTTTCTTCCTTCATTGTTCCACACTCCTTCCCAGATTTCCAGGTGCTGGCATTCAGATAGATAACCACAGAATGAAACCTGCTGTCAACCACTACTCCCTTCACCACATTCCATTGCAGTGTAGAACAGAACAACATTAAAGGCTGCTAATACTGTAGAGGTCTCTCTTCCTCCTGTACCACACCAAACTTTTGATGTGCAGTGAGCACATAGTTATCTTCCAAACTGAAATATTAGCTTGAAGCCCATCTCAAGTTAAGTATCAGCTTTTTGATAGCTAGGAGATAGCAGACTCCAATTTAGGAAGCTCTAGACACATTTTCACCCATTGCAGAAAATGCTCCTTTTCACCCTAATTTCTGGCTGTGCCTTTGTGTCATCCCAAGATCCTATCTCCCCTTTATCCCAGAACTTGTCTATTGACAGTGCTACTGCTAGTGACATGCTCAGGGAAAACAAGTCTTCCTGCTCTGTATCAGCTTCCTAATACTTTCATATTGTTCATTACAGCACAGTAAAGTAAAAGAATGTCTTCTTTATTATATTTTGCTGTCCCAGCATTTCCCTA